AAAATGTTATATAGTAAAAATAACATAAAATATAAAAAATATTTTTACACGTGAAAATTGTATTAATAAATTAATATTTCCAATTATTAATTATTTCTTATGAATAATAACCTCTTGTTATGAATAAATTATAAAAAACATTATAATAATTGAGATACCTGATTAGCGGATGCATTAGATTGATGAAAAAAATTCGTCCTTATCGATGTGAAAAGAAACCACGAGAAAAAATTATTCTGCCGCAGTTATATCGCAAGCCGACGGCAACGCCGATAGACGCTCGCGATTATCCTCAATCGACGGCTATCCGCATCGGTTCTCCGTCGCGAGCTCCCGCTCGAGGCCAGTACGGACCCAACGGGCCTACGCAAGAGGAACTCGAGGAGGAGAAGGAGGAGCCCGATCGTCTCAGTCTTCTTCTACCCCAGAGCAGATTCGATTGCGTCAACAAGCAAACCGGCTACTATGCTGACGAGGATCTCAACTGCGAGGTCTTCCATTATTGCCAAGACAACGCCAAGCACTCTTGGATCTGTCCTGAGGGTTTCACCTTCCACCAAGTTAGTAAAAACACATATGTCCTTCTTTATCTAATTTTTTACTAGTGTCTCGATATTTCTTGATATCTTATTAGATCACTGAAAAATATTGCGTCATTGATAAAATTACAATAGATGTACTCCTAGATACTTCAGATGGTAGAAAGTTATTAGTAATGCCTCTCATCGCAATTTGCTGTTATATTTATTTTATATACACTTGTCTTTTTTTAATGACACATACTGATAAATATCATTACAAGTTGTGATGCAAAATGCTCAAATGCTTATCTACACAACTTGTATCTTCTTGAATATCTAAACTTGTATCTAATTGATGGAACTAAAACATACCGATTGTATAGGTGCATTTAATCTGCATGCCACCCAGCGGCGACATCAGTTGTAAGAAGAGTTCGCAATATCATTTTGTCAATGAGTATCTATACAAGCCGCTGAATCTCCAAGAGGCCGAAAGCAAGCCCAATGTTACCCTGAGGTACAGCGAAAGGTATTACCCCTCTGATATTTACACGGATCAAAGAGAGGTCGGTGACTATCAGATCACTCCTACGGCTGCTCCCACGCGTCGTCCTGCCCCACAGGTATAATCATCGTCATTGAATTGTCATAATCATTCCGAAGCTCGTACTTAAACCCTAAGAACTGAAAGTTACAAGACCTATTTAAATTCCATATTTGTAGCCACATTTCTTTGACATGGAAGCGACAAAACCTTGACCCTTTTTTAGAAAAATTTAATATTTAATCATGTAAATTTTTTTATATTTGATATATTTTTAAAATTCATTATTCAGAGTATTCGCACCAAAACTAAGCATTTTACAAAAATCTTCCAGATACATTGAATTTTTTATAATTCCAAATTTTCAAGATTTTCCTGCGGGATTTCTGAATTGCACGCGATAAAAATTCGGATTCTTTTATTTCTATTTATTTATGCAAAAATACGAATATGTGATGTATTTACTCCTCTTAAAATCGACCGTACATTGACACGTTAACAATTAGGTCTTGTACAGGTCCTTGTAAGTCCGCAGTCTCAAAGTTTGAACAGCATTCCTACATCGGTTCGTCCACAGCCCACAGGAGTGCCGCAGTTTCGTCTCCCGGTGAACCAGGTATTCCACAGCCCCGAAGAAGTCAACATCCCCCTTCAGCATAGGCGACCGCAGCCGCAACAGCAGCAGCATCAAGTTCTCAGACGATATCCTCAAATTCAATCCGACGAGGAGGACTACGAATAGATTCTTATTGTTAGAAATCTTTAGCTCTCTATGAATTCAACTCATTCATTCGAATTTTTAGATTCTTCACGATTCTCTCATTAATCACCAACGATATTCGAAACACATCTCTCGAATCATCTGATATTTTTTTCAATTCCTTTCGCGCGAAATCGACTAAAGATCACGAAATTCAAGATACTATAGAATTTTTGAATTATTGGGCGGCGTTCAGCGGAGAAAACCGCTCAGTAGCAATCGAACGCGATTGGCTCTTACTTTTGAAACCAACAAATCAACATCGAGTGTTGACAAGACGATAACTGAGCGACATGCGCCATGCGCTGCCGCGTCCTGCGTGCAGGAGCCATTAGGGCGCGATTTCACTTAACGTTTGTCGACGTTGTCGGATGCGGTGATTGGCTATCGAATCGAGAATTTCTAGAATCTCTATCGAGATTCTAAGAAATCTCTATCTGATAGCCAATCACCGCATCCGACAACGTCGACAAACGTTAAGTGAAATCGCGCCCTAATGGCTCCTGCACGCAGGACGCGGCAGCGCATGGCGCATGTCGCTCAGTTATCGTCTTGTCAACACTCGATGTTGATTTGTTGGTTTCAAAAGTAAGAGCCAATCGCGTTCGATTGCTACTGAGCGGTTTTCTCCGCTGAACGCCGCCCAATAATTCAAAAATTCTATAGTATCTTGAATTTCGTGATCTTTAGTCGATTTCGCGCGAAAGGAATTGAAAAAAATATCAGATGATTCGAGAGATGTGTTTCGAATATCGTTGGTGATTAATGAGAGAATCGTGAAGAATCTAAAAATTCGAATGAATGAGTTGAATTCATAGAGAGCTAAAGATTTCTAACAATAAGAATCTATTCGTAGTCCTCCTCGTCGGATTGAATTTGAGGATATCGTCTGAGAACTTGATGCTGCTGCTGTTGCGGCTGCGGTCGCCTATGCTGAAGGGGGATGTTGACTTCTTCGGGGCTGTGGAATACCTGGTTCACCGGGAGACGAAACTGCGGCACTCCTGTGGGCTGTGGACGAACCGATGTAGGAATGCTGTTCAAACTTTGAGACTGCGGACTTACAAGGACCTGTACAAGACCTAATTGTTAACGTGTCAATGTACGGTCGATTTTAAGAGGAGTAAATACATCACATATTCGTATTTTTGCATAAATAAATAGAAATAAAAGAATCCGAATTTTTATCGCGTGCAATTCAGAAATCCCGCAGGAAAATCTTGAAAATTTGGAATTATAAAAAATTCAATGTATCTGGAAGATTTTTGTAAAATGCTTAGTTTTGGTGCGAATACTCTGAATAATGAATTTTAAAAATATATCAAATATAAAAAAATTTACATGATTAAATATTAAATTTTTCTAAAAAAGGGTCAAGGTTTTGTCGCTTCCATGTCAAAGAAATGTGGCTACAAATATGGAATTTAAATAGGTCTTGTAACTTTCAGTTCTTAGGATTTAAGTACGAGCTTCGGAATGATTATGACAATTCAATGACGATGATTATACCTGTGGGGCAGGACGACGCGTGGGAGCAGCCGTAGGAGTGATCTGATAGTCACCGACCTCTCTTTGATCCGTGTAAATATCAGAGGGGTAATACCTTTCGCTGTACCTCAGGGTAACATTGGGCTTGCTTTCGGCCTCTTGGAGATTCAGCGGCTTGTATAGATACTCATTGACAAAATGATATTGCGAACTCTTCTTACAACTGATGTCGCCGCTGGGTGGCATGCAGATTAAATGCACCTATACAATCGGTATGTTTTAGTTCCATCAATTAGATACAAGTTTAGATATTCAAGAAGATACAAGTTGTGTAGATAAGCATTTGAGCATTTTGCATCACAACTTGTAATGATATTTATCAGTATGTGTCATTAAAAAAAGACAATTGTATATAAAATAAATATAACAGCAAATTGCGATGAGAGGCATTACTAATAACTTTCTACCATCTGAAGTATCTAGGAGTACATCTATTGTAATTTTATCAATGACGCAATATTTTTCAGTGATCTAATAAGATATCAAGAAATATCGAGACACTAGTAAAAAATTAGATAAAGAAGGACATATGTGTTTTTACTAACTTGGTGGAAGGTGAAACCCTCAGGACAGATCCAAGAGTGCTTGGCGTTGTCTTGGCAATAATGGAAGACCTCGCAGTTGAGATCCTCGTCAGCATAGTAGCCGGTTTGCTTGTTGACGCAATCGAATCTGCTCTGGGGTAGAAGAAGACTGAGACGATCGGGCTCCTCCTTCTCCTCCTCGAGTTCCTCTTGCGTAGGCCCGTTGGGTCCGTACTGGCCTCGAGCGGGAGCTCGCGACGGAGAACCGATGCGGATAGCCGTCGATTGAGGATAATCGCGAGCGTCTATCGGCGTTGCCGTCGGCTTGCGATATAACTGCGGCAGAATAATTTTTTCTCGTGGTTTCTTTTCACATCGATAAGGACGAATTTTTTTCATCAATCTAATGCATCCGCTAATCAGGTATCTCAATTATTATAATGTTTTTTATAATTTATTCTTAACAAGAGGTTATTATTCATAAGAAATAATTAATAATTGGAAATATTGTATTAATTTATTAATACAATTTTCACGTGTAAAAATATTTTTTATATTTTATGTTATTTTTACTATATAACATTTTTAATATATTTAATATATTTTAAATATATTATTATATATATTTTATATTATTGTATTATTTGCTATTTTATTGTAATATCTAGATGTAATTTTATACAATAGAAATACACATGCACGCACTCATAGATAAAAATATACATAGTCTCAGGACTGACCGGTTGTTGATTCCTGTAGATCGGCGTCGGCGAAGGTGTGGGTGTTACCGCATTGTCCTCGTAACTGTTATCACGGAATCCTTGGGCCGAGTTTAAGCTGGATGAGTAAAGCGGTCCTAAGCTACTTGGCTTCCCGGGGAATGAAACTGCCCTAGTTTCCAGATCGTAAGAACTCTGCGCTGCGATGGCGGAGCCCAGTAATCCCAGAAACACCCAGATCATCCTGCGAAATACGATATAATCAGAGAAGAAGAACCCGGTATGCGACATTAATTTTATTCTAAATTTTGATTAAAATCGCTGCCCAGAATCGAGTAACAGGAATTACGATAATTTAATTCTTATTGAAGCTATGCATCAAATTCGCTGTAGATTTCGATTTTCCATTTTGTTGAAATGTAAACGGCAGTATTTTTCAAGGGTATCGATGGTCAAGGGCACTTTCCCTTCGCGTGCACACGTGCGCGCATATTCATTTAATGAGTGTCGATTTGCGAGAAAGCGGCTGCGACTTCTCGAAGAAATGCTCCTTTACTCCAGTAATGACACCGACATACAATTACAGCTTGAGCCTCTTTTCTCATTTTAACCCATTCAAGGTCATTGTCCGACATAGTTCTTCATTTATAGAATTATGAGAGTATAGATGATTCGAAAGTTCGATGATCTAAAAATTGAAAGATTTTTAAACTACGAATCCTTAATGAAAACATGAAATTGGAGAAGCTAAATTAGGTAGAGATTTGAAGAAACGTGAAAGTAAATGAAATATAAAGATATATAAAAGAGATGGTTAAAAAATCTAAAAAACCTCTTCAAAAGAATAAAAAAAATTGTTAATAATAATGCGAGGATCTAAAAGCGCGTCGAATATAATGAACGGCGATAAGAATTTTGGACATATTTTATTTGAAGATCATTTATTTATTTATTTATTTCTTATTTATTTCTTTTTTTCGCGACTCGATTATTTAAAGCAATTAGAAACTAGCTTTCCAGATGCGTTTGTGCCATATCCGAGAATTATTATGGAAAGCATTCGTGCTCGTTGAACACGTCATCATCGCGACCGAAATGGCTTTAACCGATAGTGAAACCGCCGTTCGAGTTTCGCACACATAGAAAGTAACACGCTTTCCTCGCACTTGCTCTCGCGCGCAAACAGCATCGATTCTCGCTATTCAAATCTCGCCGCTACTCACATGATCGGGACGGACACGAATCTTCTTTCGCCTTGAAGGCGCTTTCGGATCATATATTCTTTTTTATGGAATTTTATATATACAACTTGTGTGTAGACGATTTATAAATCGCAGCGAAAAAACTTTGGAACTAAATTTTACTTATAATTTTGTGATGCATAATAAAAAATACACCTTTTTAAAGAGTAGACACATGTATAAAATATACATAAAAGTACATATGCATTAGGATATGCGGCGCACAAAATTATAAATACATTTCTACCTTGAATTATGCCATGATCTGTGGATCATTCAAGATAAATTTATAAGATATGAGTTGAATCCAGTTTGCATTTCTTCGTTTTGAAATAATGAATGCAGAACTGATTAATTATCCAGTAATATAAATTATAATATTAATTATATTATGTATACTGTGTATTCCTATTGATAAATTCATTTTCAGACTACTATTCGAAAGGACTTGATGTAAACGTTTACGCAATTCATTAGGTTCTCATCATACATATCATATTGATTATAAACATCATTATAATTTTTCATTCAATTCATTTATTACTAGATTTAAAATAACAGTATTTTTATTATTAATATCTTTAGTATTTAATGGCAAGTTAAACATACTTTTGTAAATGTCAATCTCTTCTTAAGCCATCTCCGAATTACATTTGAGTGATACGCGATTTTTCTCGACTCGATATTTAGCTGATACTAAATTCAAACATTAAATATGTATAGGTACGATCTTTCCTCAATTGATTATTAAACCGCGACAAGCACAACGCAAGCTGCATCTCAAGATAAATTACATCTGAATTTTCCTATTGAAGATTATAAATACGAGATCACAGGAATATAAAATTGATGACTTTCAAGATGTATTTATATATCATAAAACTGGTTTCAAGTGAGTTTTTCCAACAAAAACAAGAGTATAGATATATATGGAGTACGTCATAATATATCAGAATTTATTTATACTATTTGTACTATTATACTGTGGAAAAAGATTTATCGAGACAAAATTGCGATTTTACTTGCCATTTTTGATCATTAGTTAAACAATAACTCCAAGGAGATGAAAGTCTTAAGAATATCGAAAGAGCAACAGCAGTTATATAAGTACATAGATCCAAGGTAATCTGCCATTTTCTCCATTTGTAATAACGCGTCTACTGCGTAATATTGCGTAACGCCATTTTTCCACGAAATTATCGCTCGCGAGACTTTGTGTCAAATCTAAATTTAATTTCACGTAAATATATCGAGAATTGTCAATGTGTAAATATAATTTAATTAAACTAGCTAAACTAATATAAATTGAGAGAACAAACTGTTGATTTTTATCTATATATAAATTATACGTAATGCGCGCTTCATAATATTTTAATTATAAATTTAATCAGAATTTATATTAACAATACTTATTTTTTAAGAGTTTTTTCGGTAGAATTTATTAAATGTCGGAAATTATTAATGATCTTTCTCTCTCTCTCTCTCTCTCTCTCTCTTTCTCTTGCAGTTGCACGAATGACGTTAAAAGAAAAGTCTTGTTACAAATATTTTTTGATCACACTTTCACGTTGAACGTATTAAAAAAAAGAAATTTATCTATCTGTGCCCGGAAACTTAATATTCCATAGAATTGGCCAATCGCTAATTACTGATGTAATGGGGCGGAAAAATGTCGTGTCGTTTAACGAGCACGCCGGCAGCCTCTTGCTAGCCGTAGGTTCGTCATGTGGATAAGATTCCTCGATTAAAATCCGATCGGAGTGAAAGTAAGAAGGGAATTCGTGTAAAAATGGCACGTAACACGCGCCCAACATGGGACTTTCTTACGAGACACGTGATCACGCCAAGGTTCGGTTCGCGGTCTCCATAAACGACGCACAATAGTCGAGGCTTACGAGACAGAATAAACTTTTACATAATTTTCCAAGGCCACAGTTGCTATTTTGTGGATCTAATTTAATCTTTCAACTTCTCAATTCGTCTGATATTTTTCTTTTCGGAATCTCAAAATTAAAGATATATGCTCTCTTTTATAAATTTATATATAGGATGCTGATTTAAAAAGTTTCTACCCTATTTATTTTGTGACCGACTAATTTTTGCAAAAAATGTCAAAAAAGGTCAATTTTATTTTTACAAGAGGAACGTATGAGTGCGATAAATTCAAAGGTATCCATGTATTCCCTTCGTTAAGATAGTTACCTTTTAAATGACAATAGGTGTTAAATGTCATCATTTTAAATGTCTTTTGGCTCTTTTTATGTGACTTTCTTTATGTTTGTTCTTTTTAATTTGAGTAAAATTTGAAATATACAATGTTTTTGTATCTGAAATTTCCAAGTGCGATTTTTCGGAAAATATCTACTCAAAAATTAAAAAGGAAAGAAAGAACAAATACGGTTATAAAGAGAATCAAAAAATCTTTCAAATGAAATGCCACTTGACCCCTATTACCATTTAAGATTTTTGAAGGAGTAGCTACCCCTCTGATGAAGGAGATGAAACGGCATTATTGGGTTTATCACACTCATATGTCACCCTTAAAAACAAAATTGATTTTTTGGGGCATTTTCTGCAAAGATTAGTCGCTCACAAAATAAAAATGGTAAAAACGGTTCAAATAAATATTCTGTATATTTATATATGTATAAGCGAGTTCTTCTAATTTCACTTTTTCTAAAGAAAACAATGCAATAATTATTCTTCTTATTATTTTTTTAAATATATACGGACAGAGATTATACACAAGAGAAAACAACATATATGGATCATAGACATATTTCATATGTATGTTTTTCCCGTGGAAAAAATTGTAGATAGGATAATTATAACAAATTTCATTTTATCGCGCATATGATTTTTGACTCTAATCTGTCGGCATAAGAAATTATCATAATTTGAACATATTTATGCATGGGATAAAATATGTATAAGTAAAAAAAATATTTAAACACGATACAAAGCATATTGGAATCCGCAAACATAATTTCAAATTTGATTTATTTTATCTCATTTCTCTTTTCTTGGAATTCGATCGTCGCGTTGAACCCGATCGATTCCAGATAATCGTTTTTGCCTGTTTATCGATCGGTTTCTCCGATTTCGCCGGCAGGAAAATCGCGGGGACTTTCTCCATCGAGGAGATTGCTCGAAAGATCGTTATTATTATTCATAATCTCTCCGTTCACGCCGTAATCATCTGTTTAACGAAATCTCCGTAACATTTGTGCATATCAGAGAAGGGCGTTCTCCTCGCGGTAACCGACTTCCTGCATATGCCGTACAAAGAAAGCAACATTGCATAATGGAAAAAGAGATAGTTGTCCAGCGACTTCACGGAGAGGCAGTTGCGTTTGTATAACGCGCGTAACGTCAACCGGTTGTGGTTTAAGGAAAAATCTGGAGCAGCCGGGCGGTTTCATTTTTCCAGAATTCCGTATGAAACATGTCAAACCGGCTAATCCGCTTTTCATCATGTCGATATTAATATTGCTCTTCTTTATAAATATAGATTTCGAAAACCGATGTTTCTTAATATTAAAAAATCTATTGAATTTTTGCTTGGAAAGAGATCTAATTAATTTGTTTTTAATAATTACATCAAGTTTCTAATAAAAACATTAATTTAACATTAATTTTACTCCTCAATGATCTAATTAAAAATCGATTGTTTAGTTTCGGAAATATATTGGTTACACAATTATGTAAAAACAATTTTTAATTAGAAACAATACAGACTTTTATATATCAACATTTTTAATTAAAATTTATCAATTTTGTTAAAACATGGAGCCGTATATAAAAGGGAAAGATATTTAATAAAATAAAAGTTCATTGTAAAGCTAGAACAAGAGAAAAATTGTAGTAAGAAACGGATATGTATCAAGGTATTGTGCATCAAGGCTATCAACTTTATAGCTTTATATGTAAATATACCTATAGCTTCATTTTAAGCAAATCGTCATTTTTATCTCATTTTAAGAATATAATAAGAATATACATATCAAGTAACTCAAATTTGCAATATGAATATACTATAATATATATAGCAAAGCTGAACTTTATGTTACAACTTGTGTAATACGATATGACAATTGTGTGATATATTATTTGTTATATACATTGTTCTAGAAGAAACAAAAGATATGTATTTATTACAATGAGTGTTGTATAACTGCATTATTTCTAAGATGATGCATTGAAAGCTCTGGAACTATTACTATAATATATATATATATATATAATTTTCTTCTTTATAAAAATATACATGTACTAATAACTTTTGAGTAATTAGAAATTGGAAATGTGTGAGAGAGAAAGCCTTTTATAAATCAAATTTTAAAAATGCAAATAAATAACAGAATCATAGTCTTCGATTAATCTTAAGAGGACTTTTATAGAATATAGATTTAAGACTCAGTTACGAAGATGTGGAATGTTAAGGACAGGCAAATTATAAAAAAGAATTTTTGTAAAGGAAAGATCGGTTTATATGCTCACGCGGTAACGGCGGGATACCCGTCTTATCTTGATCTACCTTTTTACTCGTACGCAGCCTCAGTGAATTGTAAAACATATTTTCGCGCGATATTTTAATTAAGTTAATCCTTGACTGTACGAAGGAAAAGAGAAAAATAGAAATTTGAACGGCAGAGTTGTACTTTCTCTTCAGCGGCAATATTGTTTCGCGCTGGAAGGCAAACCGGATAAATCGGGAGAAAGACCCCCGTGTGGGCGCCGTCCTCATAAAGTCTCAACTTTATGAAATTAACTTGGTCACGCATGATGGAACAAGAATTATGACACGTGCCTGGCGAGCAGTCGCTCGGGTGAAATTATTTCGTTACGAGATAAGAAAATCGAGCATTAAAATCTCAATAGTTGCAATCTATCTAGAACCTTAGAATATATACCTATTGTATTCTTAAAATATTCATATTAATCTCAAGCGTGTTGAACTATAATTATCCGCATTATAAAAGGCAGTAAAAGTTAAAAATATTATTATAAATTGATCTAGTAATTTATCTATATAATACAGAAATGGGGTAAAAATTGATAAAACTGAATATTGAATTTTGTTTAGAAATACATTGATAGAAAGATTAGAAAGTATGACTATACTTAAATAAAATACAAATCTAAATAAAATATATATTTATAAAAACTGCAAAATTCATTTCCTTATTTATTGCAATTTACATCAACATTAACATTATTTTTGATTATTTTATCAAAGCGATTTACACAAAAGTATCATCTGAAAAACATAATAAACTGAAAAATCGATATCGAGAAGAACGACATACAAAGGAATTTAACTATAATAAAATCCGAGTTTCTTTACTCAAAATTGAGACAATAGCTGGAAAAAATGGATAATGCACAATACGATAATTCAGAAGTCGCTCGGTCCTTCGAGATGCATTTCACTAGCACTTCACTAATTGAAGTATCACTGATTAAAGGGCCACTTACCTGTCAGTGCGACAGCAAAGATAGCGAGAAACAACGAGCGTCAAAACACCGTGAGAGACCAACAATACGCGCGTGCTTCATTTTCTCGCCGACATGTCACTCTCTTATATAGCGTACTTTGTTGAAAGTTGCCTCCACCAGACGAAGTGAATTCGGTTCTCTTCAAAGTAGTGGGATAAACTCCCGTACAGTCGCTTCTATTGCTTCTGCAAGATGCACCTGCTTAAGATCCTCGGCAAGGATGGCGAAATCGATCTTACGAAGATCAAATGCATTTTATCTAAACTTGAGAGGAGAAATTAATGCGCGAGAAAACGCGGTTTTACATTTTAAAAAATCAGTCAATTTTAACAGATATCATTGAATCTTTTAAGTTATAAAAACAAATTTACAAAATTGAACTATAAAAACATGTCGTATAATTAATAGCAAAAAACTACATTTGGATGATACGAGAAAAATCATTTCCTTATAAATCTTTCGATATTTAAAAATTGTTTTCTTTAGTAAAAAAATGTTGCAAAAATATTACAGAGTTATCCTATGATACTGATGGAAAAGCTTACAGTAAAATTTACTGAGATAATTATAGGAAAGAAAGAAAAATGTTTTTTATTGCAATTAATTGAAAAGTTTCAGATCATTAAGATGACCATTAACTTTCGAACGAATTGCTATCTTCGCATTTTCCTCGGTGCACCGATGAAAATAAGATCTCGCGATTAGGATCGGCCTTTTACGCTCAAAATTAAAAAAAAGAAACAAGAAAAGCAGAAAACAATAGAGATATGAACTCGTGAAACTCGCGGAATTGAAGATTTTACGGCGTGATTCCGAGGAAAGCGTAATTGCAGGCGGGGATTTTTCTGAGGAAGCAGGATGTGCCTCGGTGTATCTGACGGTACTTGTAGGATCGAGATCGCGTGTCATGATTGAAATGCAAAATGCATGATATAGAACGCGATGGGCTGTATAATGTGGCGTGAAACATAATTAATCTGATCTATCGATCATCCCGGAAGATCGACCCGTTGCTGATCCGCCGGATTACGCCCTTTTTCCACGCGCCGTTTCGCTTCTCTCTCTCTCTCTCTCTCCTCCCTCACACTTTTCACTATTTAACGATCTCGATCGTAGATAAATAGATAAGAGACTTTATACTTTATTCTGGAGCACACGCTTCGATATAATAACAGAGCGCACGCAGTTATGATAATCTGATCTAATCAAAGATTTCTGAGAGATATATCTTCTTAGGATCTATGAATGTCAAAAATAAATAAATTTTCAAATGTAAAAAAAAAAGAAAAAAATAAAGACAAAAAGAGATATATATATAAGAAACATGTTGAAGTGATTGCACAGAAGAAATAAAGTATCGATAGATGCTTTACATAATCAATTTTATGTGTATATAAATCAATTTTATTTTTTAAAGCACGTGTCGATACTTTATTTTGTCTGTTTGCGGTGACAAGCTTTCTTTACTAATAATGAGATATAAGATAATAATTATTATCCTATATAAAATACGCAATATCAAAAATTTTGTAAGTCGCATAAGAGAGTGCAAAGTAAATTCCAATAAAGTCGTAAATTGTGTCGATAGTTAGCCGGGAACAACAAACGAGGACAATCATTTTCCGATATCGAAATATCGAGAAACGGCATAATTAGATGGATTAAGTACCCTCGCTCTGCGAGGAATAAAAAAAGGTATTTGACGAGAGAAGGGAAATACACGATCATCAACGCTTGATCTATCGCAAAGCGATTTAATTCATGGTTCGGAAAACATGTTGTTGACACTTGACAGCTTCCGTATAAAAATGATTCGCTGTATAACGAGAGAGCTTTATTAGATATTCTCTTTGCGCAACTTTTTAATTTCTAAAATTAAATATTTTAATTAGAATTTCGTGCAAAAGTTAAACGACTAAAATTAGAAATAAAGATTCGGATGTGGATTATTTTTCTGCTTATCTTTCATTTTTGATCATCCATAATTTTATAAAATTAATGATTTCTTTATTAAAGAATTTCTGTATCTAACGATAAGATCTCTTTAACTTGTAATATCCCGCGAATGAAAATAACCAGATTTTCGCATTCGTTATGCAAGAAAGTTGATGTTTTCTTATCTACTGCTGCGTAAAACTTGTTACTTGGGATAAATATACCTTCGTTCAAGCGTTACGTCCTGATTAAAATTTCATACGCTAACGTGACTTTCTCACATACTTCTACTTGCAACCAGCCCTTCCTTACTTTCTCGTCTGTTAAATGTTGTAATATATTACAATATACTCCTTTGTTTTATTTATTACATGTAGATTCATCTCTGATTTGCCGCGTATTCGTTAAACGTTTTATTCCTGTATTCGCAACCGGTGGATGACCGTGTAAAAAATTATTTAAAAAAACACATTTCTTCGATACATCTCTTCTAAAGCTTATGAGAAAATAATAATAATGACGTAAAATAATACTCAATATTGCATTTACTCAAATTTGCACATATATATATCAAGGCAACTCCCTATTTCGCGCAATGATTCCATCACACGTATTGGCGATTCGTCACTCTCGTTTGCCGGTGAAAAGAGCGACCTTCCTCAGACCGCACGCCTGACGAAAGAAAGTCCGCGATCCGCTTCCATAAAATTTCAATAAATCGGCCGCCAAGCGGCGTGTCGAACTCAATGGGAAAACGAGATCGAAAGTCGTGCTTCTCCACCCACTGGAGAAACTCATCACTGACACGCTTTGTTCAATTTATTCCGATTCTATCGACAACAGACCCTGATTACTCTTCTGGAAAGAAAGTAATTTGCTCTGTGTTTTTATCACTCCCCTTTCACGTTCGTTGCTGATTGGTCGCATACGCAACGATCGCGAAACAATTGCACGAGATACGCACTTTATTATATTATAAAAGAGCAATAGTACGATATTAATATTATAGTACGGTATTGCGCATATATATAGTATACGCACAATAACAAATTGTAAGATCGAAAGATTAAAGTAATGAAAAATCCCGTGATAAAAAAATTGTTTAATTAATAATTAATTTATGTTTGCATTTTAGAAAAATGTAAAGCATCGGATGAAATATATTTGATTTTGAGCATTGTTAGAGAAATAATTATTATCCGTAAGAATCGATAATAAATAGATCGACTAAAACTTAACAAAAACGAACCAAGCGACGCTTAAAACCTTTTGGAGGATACTCAGGACAGTGATCTTGACAACATATGTCAAGATCAAGGTCATTGGAGCTGAGTCCATTTTTGTCCATCTTATCCATCGCAATATAATTATGTGTCACTTATCGTATGTAAAAGATAATTAATTATTAATTATATTAATAATATCAATGATATTATTATAATATTATTAATATTATTATATTCTTGCATTATGTGCCAAAAAATACTTATGATACTTTCTGAGATTGAATCATAAATATATTTATTGCTTTCTTGCAGGATACGGATTGTTCGAATGTTGCAAAGCAATGTTCGCCAACAGAATCTCCTACACTTTCGATTGGATCGGTCCCGGTGTAGTGTTATGTAAAACATCCTCTGGATGTCTTCTGGACATGTGTGTTGTTAGGGTAATAGCCCTGTCGTAAATGTACGAGGTGTGACTATAAAATAACTGGATTATAATGTTCTAAAATTTTTTATTCGATAAATTACACAATGGAAATGTTATCACCTTTAATGTATCCCCTTCCCCGATTTTTACACCGCTTCATGCGAATCTTCCATTATTGGAAGTAATGTTGCAGGTCTTCTTCTGATAGCTTTTGTTCACGAGCTCCATCGCTTTTGCCTTCACTGCATCTACGGACTCGATACGGGTTCCTTTTAATTGACTTGATTTCTGGAAATAAAAACAAGTCACACGGGGTTAGGTCACGTGAGTATGGTAGATGTTTCAACACAAGGATCTTGTTCATCTTGTTCAGCTTTGCCAAAAACGAGTTGACAGACAGCGCGTTGTGTGCCGGCGCACATGTCGTCATTATTCCGACAAAGCTCAGGTACACAGTCCGCTTCAAACAAAGGCTACTTCCGAAATATTGGTCGCACGTGCTTGGAAGTGTAATGATAGATAGAGGGGAGAGCACAGACCAATATCCCACCTTGCTCGCTGTTGCCGAGGACACAGGAAACCGGCAAAAAAAATCAGTCCGATTATTTTCTAGCCACGCCTCTATAGTATATAAACACCAATCACTTTTTATATATTTGGCAACAGCGATATTATCGTGCAATTCGATTATTATGTAAGTATTATTATAAAATTATTCGTGGAGTGGGAAAAACATAAAAGCGACAATGTGAGTTGACAGTGTTTGCACACGAGCTAGTAACGTTAACGCAAAATAACATATTAATATTTTGCTATTATTGTCGAGTATAATGGCATTCGCAAGTGTTGTGTTATTTTCTTTGGTATGGATCGCCATAAGTTACTTCGTCTGTAATTTCCGTCGGTTGGTTTCCATTAAAATGATAAACTCTCTGCCCGGTCCAAAGGCATTGCCGCTTGTCGGAAGCGCCTTCTATTTCCTACTGAAGAATCCTGATGGTAATGAGAGACAATAATACTTATTTAATTTATAGAAAAAAATAAGAAACGAAAGAATCACACAGCAGCTTAAAAATCTCAAAACTTTACTATACAACGGAATAAAAAATTAATTAATGTTGCATTTGATTCAATATAATGAAGTATAAGCGAATCACGTCGAATGGATATATTTCTCAAAGTTGCAAAAAAATTTTTTTTAGAAATTTTGTTTTCTCTACTTAAGCTTGTGAAAAATTACTCGTCCCCTTTCCAAGTTTGGATAGGCAACAAGCTATTTATTGGAATATACGAACCGGATCAAATAAAGGTAGAGGAACAGCGCTTATGCGTTCCACGATATATACGTACATACTATTTTTTTAAAAATATCTCTTCTTATTGATTATACTTTTCTATAATTTTACAACTATTGAAATTCATCTCTTCCATTAAACTAAAATAATTTTCCGAGATGTTATATACATAATAATATACAAATAATACGCGATGGAAATATTACTAAATTTGTATGCGACGTTGTAGACTGTCTTACAAAATAGGCATTGCTTGAATAAGGGTGTACTGTATAAATTTATTGAATCAGTACTTGGCAAGACATCATTGCTGACGGTTCCTGGTAAGTTATATTTTAAATAATCGAGTTCTTAATTTTAAAGAGAAGAGAGAGAGAAAGGGAAAAAAAGAGTCATTTGTAATAATTTAATTTAGATAATAAGGTATAATTAATCTAATTAAGATAGGAATATATACATATTCTTTATATAATTCTTTTGTAATATTTATTTTAGCATCCATATGGACTAAGAATCGAAAAATATCAGCACCAAGTTTTAATACAAATATGTTACGAGGCTTTTTCGATATATTTGTCGAACAATCTTTAATATTTGCAGACAGATTAGAAAAAATCGGATTAAAGGAAAGAGAGATTGAATTATTCGAACCTATTTCACTGTGTACTATGACCATTGCATGTAGTAAGGCCAAATATAATTATTGATCATTTTTTAATTATTTGTGTATTATACAAACTCTTACAGAAAATGTTTGGCATTATAAAAATGTAAAAGAATCAAAACTTGTGTAAGAGACAGAGAGACAAAAAGAGAGAGAGAAAGAGATGCAATAATAATATATATGTTAAAGATTAATTATTTAATATTGTAATGTTAAATGTTGCTAACTTAAAGAATTAAAATTTAATATTTCGAAGAAATATATACAAAAATTTGTAATGATTTACCGTAAGTCACGGATTTTATTGATTGTAATTGCAAGTTTACACGAGACTCAAATCTCTACTTTGGGCAATCTAATTCGCGACAAAATTCGAAAGAGAAATTTACAACTTTAAAAATTTTATTCGAGAGAAAAATTTATTTTTAATTTTACGTGTCGTGTAGTACAGAAAACATTTAAAGAACTATAAATATTACAGACATAAACATATTTCAGAATACACATATACACATATATACATTAACATATATATGACATATACAAGTATAAATAGAATTTTATCTTAAGTCGTGAATTGTAGATCTTGGTTTTTACAGCATAAAAGTGTCTATTTCTTTATCTTCTCTGAAAATATTGATTTCTAAAGCTCATCTTACATGGCAATATAATTCACGACAAAATTTAAGGTAGAATTCTATTATGGCACATATCTTAATTTTGTATTCTAATGTGTATATTTGTTATATTGTATATGTATGTATATTTTATATACTAGTTCACAAATGTTTTTTTTCTCGGTATCGTGACACATTTTCTCTCTCGTTCAGAAAAATCAGACTTAACAGACATAGTTAATAACACATGAAGAGAATTACTACACCAATTATTAGTCACTTATTAGTTAATATTTTAAATAACAAATCTGTTTTTCTCACGTTGGGTTGTAAAGACACTATACTAGGCGTCAACTTGGATTCACAATCAGACATAATCAGGCAATGTTGTGAAATAATAATGAGGTAAATATAGTTTTCTTCCGTCTAAAATCTATATAACAATTGATATAATTTTAAAATTATATCAATTGTTATATAGATTTTAGACGGAAGAAAACTATATTTACCTCATTATTATTTCACAACATTGCCTGATTATGTCTGATTGTGAATCCAAGTTGACGCCTAGTATAGTGTCTTTACAACCCAACGTGAGAAAAACAGATTTGTTATTTAAAATATTAACTAATAAGTGACTAATAATTGGTGTAGTAATTCTCTTCATGTGTTATTAACTATGTCTGTTAAGTCTGATTTTTCTGAACGAGAGAGAAAATGTGTCACGATACCGAGAAAAAAAACATTTGTGAACTAGTATATAAAATATACATACATATACAATATAACAAATATACACATTAGAATACAAAATTAGAGGTAAATATAGTTTTCTTCCGTCTAAAATCTATATAACAATTGATATAATTTTAAAATTATATCAATTTATTAATTTTTATAATTTTAAATATGTACCAGAGAGAGAGAGAGAGAGAGAGAATATCTTAAATTAAAAGTTTTTATTATAATATATATATATAAATATTTTGTTGACTGTATAACAAAGAAGAAAAGATCTTTCTTCTCGATTGTATTCGAAAAACTTTATTATCGCGATTAGATAAATATATATTTTTATATTTTATGCTGAATTCCATTTTAAAAGAAAAACATTTCAGTTGCAAAAGAAGTTTAAGCTACAGATTCAAGAATATATTCTTGTATTCTAATATTATATTCAATCTCACTGCTTTCGGACGCAAACAACAAGAAAGTTTAACCTGTTTCTATTCCTTCGTGGATGAGGTATATTATAAGAATATATTCCTTATATATTTTTTAATTTACATATACTGCTCTTCTCGTACAATTCATTGTATTATATATTATTATTACAGATGATACAGCAGCGGCAATATTCATTAAATAAATCGAATACAGCGGAGACTAACAATAAGAATAAAATAACTCGTAAGTTTGTTGATGTTTTTTTCTTCGTATACTTCAGTTTCTATCATTTTATTACCGATATTATTTATCAATACTGACATTCTGCTGCCAACTGACAGCAAAATCAATTTTATCTAGAACTGCAGTTATAAAACGCGCTGTTAAAGCAACGTGTCTTTTTTTCTACTGATAATTTCTACTCTTTTAAACGTACTTTGAATATTAATTTATTTGAAATTAAAAAGTATATTTAATTGTTCTGCTCTCTCCGCTGTCTTAAAACTGAATAAGTAATTGACACATTATTTTATATTTTTTCCTTCAAATATAGATAAGGCATTTTGCGACATTCTCTTGAAAGCATCTCATAAGGAAAAACTCACGCAAGAGGATATTCACGATAACGTAATTACGATGCTTGTAGCGGTATGTAAAATGTCTCTACACGTACGATTATATTCATATATAAATGCATAACGAATAAGATTTTTATTTATTTTTAGTCCGCCGACACAACCGCTATTACGATAAATTTTGCGGTCTTCATATTCGCGAACTTTCCGGAGATACAAGTATGTATACATTCAATTCATTCAAAGATAGTTTATTTTCTCGTTTTATAAATCGAGTATTCTACAATCTGATATAGTTTTAAAATAAGGGAGATATACTCTCTTTAAATGATAATCGACAAAAGGATTCGACATAAATTATATTGTTCAAGTAAATAGCTTGTTCGAGTAAATAGCGCGTATAATAAATTTTTTGTTACTATAGTATTATATCGCTTATAAAACGGCAAAATTTAATATTGTATATATATA